TTACAGATAATGGTAGTTCAAATGATTGCTGAAACAGTAAAAAAAGAAACTACCGGCATTGAAAACTAACGCTATAACAAGCCAAAAACACTCATCAGTGAACGATACAAGTGATAATGAAAATTATTTCTTAAACAGAAAACCCACCAAAGAATAATACTACTGGTGATAGCTGTTGAAACAATTTAAAAACGTAAGCAGTATACTTGAAACTATTCCACTAACTACTGGGTTATTCTTTCTGCATATCACCGTTCTTGTTCTGAATCAAAGAGTTGTTACGTTAAGAGAACGTTATATTTGATTAGTAAATAAAGACAATTTACTCCGTTGAATCAAGAGATAACTTTAAATGCATATTAGTTCCTTCTCACTTTAAATATAGGAAGAAACAGAATGTTGAAAATTCAGGTTATTCATTTTAAACATCGAATGGATATTATATTAGTTAAAAGGAACGCTTAACGACAAACACTTCACGAACAGACGAAGTAGTTAGTACTATACGTATCTAAAAAGCTTATTTTACCAGAACGATTTAAGTTTTATGTTGAATGAGGAATAAGCCTTCATCAATGTAATATTTTTTTCCATATCAGTCTTTCAGAAAACACCCAGTGTACCTTGTCCAAAAATAATTAATTAAATTCTTTTGACGTAAATCTAAAATCCAGTCGGAAAGGAGACAAGATTATATAAGTGCACTATAAGTTAATAGTTTCCAACTGACAAGTCCTAAGAACTCGACCGCTCATTGGTTTAAACTTGAAAAATGAATCACCATCGATCAAACATACAAGTAATTTTCTAAACTTTCCTTAAGTTAATAAAGAACAATCAACGAAATTTTCTCAGCAAATCCCATGCATTTTACAATGATAGATAACTGGAAAGAATAACTTCAACATACCCATTCTAACTTAACAAAGATCGACCTTTTCTATAAATTAAATAATTTGCAATTTAGGCAGACGATTCTCCTCAGGAAGTAATTCATTGGTTAAGGTTCCAGTTACTTACTATGACCCTTACCTTGTCAGGAAATTAATTTGAAATTCCTCAAATACTTAGTTTCCGGAAATTAGTTTTGTCCATCACATCATCGCTTGTCTATGTAACTAAGTATTGTGATTCCTTTCTTGATAACAAGAAAAACACGACGCTGTTGCTTTCCTATACTATGTATATACTTTTGTTTTGATTATTGTCTTGTAGTTTTTATTCTCTCATTACACATCAACAACACATTTTTATTTAGCATCCACTGTATGTTTACCGTATATCGTATGCGTACGTGTGTTAAGTGCTTGCTGTTCTACGGCTGTCATAATAAATTCGGATCTATAGAACAATGGAATTACTTACGCTGCACCTTAATGATACAGGCTTCTGTGTTAGCCCTGGTGTATCTCAATCTTTCTGTCACACTTTACGATCTGTGTCCCAATTTAGTTTTGGGTGTACATTTCCGATAAATATTCCCAGGTACGTTTATTCTGGAGCCTAGTGGTTAGCGTGCAAAGACTGTGAATTTGAGGGTCCATGGTTCGCGGTCCGTTGCCAGCACTTTGAGACCGTGAAAGCGCTTAACGAGTGACGGCCAAAACCCACTATTTGATCATACAAGAGTAGCCCAAGAGTTGACGGCAGGTTGTACTGACTAGCTGCTTTCCTTCTAGTTTATCAGTTGAAAATTAGAGAAGATTCAGCGCAGATAGCCCTTGTGTAGCGTTACGAGAACATTTAGGAATAAACAAACAAGTATTCTGTATCCGTATCTCTCCCCCTACTCACATCAGAATCCTAAGCAGCATGGTATATGATATCAACAAATTGAAAACCTATTATACTACAAGATATATAGACCAAGTTACCTTATATGATATGTTGTCTGTTATACAGAAGAACTAAAAATTGAAACCTATTATACTACAAGATATATATAGACCGATATGTTGTCTGTTATACAGAAGCTTGTAGTATAATAGGTTTCAATTTTTAGTTATATGTAGACCAAGTTACCTTATATGATATGTTGTCTGTTATACAGAAGAACTAAAAATTAAAACCTATTATACTACAAGATATATAGACCAAGTTGCCTTATATGATATGTTGTCTGTTATACAGAAGAACTAAAAATTGAAACCTATTATACTACAAGATATATAGACCAAGTTACCTTATATGATATGTTGTCTGTTATACAGAAGAACTAAACATTTAAACCTATTATACTACAAGATATATAGACCAAGTTACCTTATATGATATGTTGTCTGTTATACTAAACTAAACAGTATTTAACTTCAAGACTTCTCCAACGATTCCTATTAAACTTGATTACTGAGTTACTACTATTAACTGACTTGAATTTAGTTTGTTTTCGCAGAAATAACGAAATATTAATTCAGAAAGAACTTCATAGATATCTTGTTTATGTTGTTGCTAAAAGCGAACTACATAATGGGATATTTGAGCTATGCCAACCTCGTAAATCGAAAATCCAGTCGGAAAGTGCACTATAACTCGATAGTTTCCAACTGATAAGTCCTAAGAAATCGACCCCTCATTGGTTTAAATTTGAAAAAAAAAGAATCACTATCGGTCAAACATACAAGTAATTTTTAAGATTTCCTTCAGTTAATAAAGAAAAATCAACGGAATTTTCTCGTAAAATCCCATGCATTCTGCAATGATAGATAACTAGATAGAATATTCCCTATAAAGCTCAGCCTTTCCACTGAGCCCCCAAGGTGCATTTCATATCTATATATATTTATTAAATCTCAATACACTTTGAAATATACTTGAAGTTTTAAATCTTCTTTCGGTATTGATCTTTATAGAATTTTTTCGAACGAGTTAACCTAGCAAAGATTTAAATCATATTTAATAGAAAAAAATAAAGTATAATCAGCAGACGATTAGATTCATGCATGGCAACAATTGGTAAAACGTCAATGTAATATAAAAATATTTTTTATTACTCGGGTGAAAGTAGCAATATTTCATGACGTATATAAAGAAACTACAACTTCGTAATTGAATATATAATGTAAGAATTACATACCGTTGGATGGCTATGGCCTAGCGATTTGCGTTCTGGGCTGCAGATAGAAAGAGCCACAGAACATCGTACTTTCAGCTGTGAGTTCGTTATAAATGAGACAGTCAATCCCACTTTCAAGTAAGAGTAACCACGTATTAGACAATGAGTACTGCTGCCTGCTTACCCTCTCTGTGATCAGCAACTCTGACCTGGATGCTTATCCAATGTGTAGCATAAGGGCCCCATTCAGTGAAAATACCAATATTAATTGCATAACTTTTCAGTACATAAAATTTTTCAGGCCTTTCTAAGTCATACTATTGTAACGAATTTGTTATTATATATTTATTTTAATATCGGCGTTGTTTAGATTAAGTTTATATTTAAAAACATGCATATCTTATAGTGCTAGATATGTATTGCGAAACTCCCGCCTACTCTCCAAAGTTGTAGAAGATTCTCGAGAGTAAGAATCAACAATATATGGGTGAACATAGACGCTTAAATTTGTATTGTTACGTAAAACTGAAATTTCTAGAACGCCTCTACATGGCTATAAATATAACTAGCATGACGCGCAAAAACAGTATTTATTATTAGTTCGCTACAATCAGTGTGCTATAAAACTTCGGAAGCTATAACTGTGATTGTTATAACGCTTATCAATCGGAAAATTTCAGATATTTGACCAGGAATATTTATAAATTTCGAACATTACAAACCATTTAACCTCAGTGGATTCTCATCGGCCATTAGTACTTTTACGAAAACATTACCTAACGTCACCGGTAGGAAAAATATCGACATGCGTGTCTGGTAAATAACGGAGGACAAAGCTAGCTAGTTTCCCGTGAAGTGAAATATACCTACATCAACTCGTAATCAACTCACTCATCGTGAACCCTCGACAAGATATCGAAGAAGTTCCTGATTAAAAGGAAGACTTTATATTGCTTGTAAGTTTGTGAAAGTTTTGTTTATAAATCATTGTTTGTAATAACTATTTGTAATAACTGTTATTGTAAATTGTATTGTTGTGTGCATATTAAAACGTATTCGTGTAAAAAACGAAAACTGTGTGCATCAATCTTGTTGGCAAATATAATAATCTGACTATACATCGGATTTTACTTAACTACTAAGTCCAAAGTATAATTTAACTACCAAATGGAAATTTATCAGTTAACTCAATTTCAGGAAATTTGAAATTCTAATACATGACACTATATTTCCTTTATCGTGATTTGCATATTATAAAATTTATATATATATTTTTAAAGAATTTACTCAATAGAATGCTATAAAATATTATAGTGATTGAAGAAATAATCGAACTCTATCAATTATTAACTACTATTATCCTTACATAAATATTTCACATTTTTTAGAAAACATTAATCCAAAATATTGAAATTCAATTCAGGATTGCCGCCCCCCAGTGGCACAGCAGTATGTCTGCGGACTTACAACGCTAGAATCCGGGTTTCGATACCCGTGGTGGGCAGAGCAGAGATAGCCCATTGTGTAGATTTGTGCTTAATTACAAACAAACAAACAGGATTGCCATTCTGTCGGCCACAAATTGTAAATTTTATGAATGTTAGTAACCGTAGAATAAATTATAGTAATATGTCTACTTAATACTGTAAATTTATAATAAATTCATCTTCATAGCTTAAATATCACCTGGTCGTATAAGTTTGAGGAATTATAATGCTAGAATTCGGGTTTTAATCCCTTCGGTGGACACAGTACAGATAGCTCAGATTTATATTTTACACAGAAAAAACAACAACAGCAAACAATAAGTTCCATAACCTAGAAGTTATAAGAACTATCTGATCAGTTATCCTTCAGATAAGTGTAAATGTTCAGTCAGTGGTAAAAACGAAACCTCGATCATTCTTTAGAATCTGTCTTCTCGTTCTGCAACCATGACAAGACTTACCCGACTTTCCCACTCCTGCTAGTCCTAGTACCATCACTTTTAGTGTTTTTGGACGAGCATGGTGTGACAGTCTGCTAAACATCGACTTACAACCTGGATATCTAGATGAAAGGAAAGTTGACGCAAAGGAATCCCCACTGGTTTCTTCCTGTGCCATTTGGGGATGTATTTCGGTTAGAGCTAAAGTTCATGAAGGGCAAGTAAAAAAAAAAAAAGGAATGACTACATAATTTGAAAATGTTTTTAACTATTATCTCTAATTTCAAATATATTTTTGTATATTTGTTTTAAATCAAATTGGTCTGATAAAAACTAACCGTCTATTTTCCTAAGAAATGTAAATATAAGTAATTACAGCGCTGCTAACAATTAACAAAACTTTGACGAAAGATAATTTTTCATATTCAATAAAAGCTCTAAGTGATTTCAAACCAGCTTATTTATAGCATACTCAGCAAACTAAAATAGTCATTCTGATCAATTCAACCTTCTGCTCACATGATACACGTGGCAATTATTATTTACTTTTCTCTGGATCTGAAAGAGATGTGACAAATATTGGTGTTTAGACTTTTAAGTTCACTCAAGCAGTCAAACAAATTTATTCAGTACTGAATTAAGTGATTGCTAAGCTTGGAACTAATATAATCTTTATAGTAATGTACTGTGTGATTAAATAGAGGTATATTTTTAGGCGAGTAATTTGTCAATAATTCTGTTACAAGATTATACCTGAAACCAAACTAAAGGTGAACAACCAGAAGTATTGTCTGTTAATCTGAATAGAAATACAATTTAAAATGTGTATATGTAGCTATGCAAATCAACATATAATACTACAAACACAACGATCGGATCAGGTATTAAAATTAAAGTATTTGCTATTGTACGTGAATATTTCAACATTACATTTTCCTTTTCATATTTCAAGATTAATTAAACTTACTCTATATCTGTATGTGTTAGTTATCGATAAAATCATCATTATTTGCACACCTGTAGTTAAATATCACAGTGACGTTTCGTTAAATCTAATGAGAAAAATATCAATAGATCGCTACTTAATGTTCCTAAAATATTAAACATTATGTGTCCTAAATCTAACCTCAGTATTCCGAAAATGCGTATATACAGTTCCGATAATAATCACCTAAGACAAACTTTCAGAAATATGGCACTCCTATTCCATGCATTCCTTGTTTGTTATTACTAATGTGTTAAATTAAATTATTATATTTGGGCTTAACCTCAAATTGAAATCAAACGTAAAGACTAAACGACGTTGTTGCTTCAGTCATGGGTTCACCTGGCTGGAACTTTGATCATCGTTATGGAATAGCTATACTCACGTGGATATGTGCCTGCAGCTCTATTGACCAAAGATTGAGTGCAAGTGACAAGATGCAATACACAATTTGTCTTTTATTTGAGCTTACTATAACTCTCCGCGAACGTTCTTCGTCACCCGGAGTCTCGTGTATTTACGACAACGGTCTGTTTTCACAACTGGAGTGACTTCACGCGTGCTCTGTGGGCGGAGCCACCCTCGAAGCTTTGCTTCAAACAGTTATCAAACTCGAACCATGACAAGCGTTCAGTATGTTGTAAAACCGAACAAATCGACTGTTCTCAGCTTATAAACTTTATAGAATGTCTTGTGTAGACAACAGCGTTATAAATTCGATTATGACTTCTCAACAAGAAACGATAATCGTATGTTGGCGGGTTTTCGTTTATGAGTGGAATTCTCATATGTTAAATACTTTACTGGTGATGCTGAATAAATTATGGAAAACGTGGGAAAGTGACAATATAAATGAAAAACTTATTAACACGTAAAAAATACGCCCTCATCTAAAATTTTATTTCAGCTTTTTGTTGTAAACCACACAAAAACCCAACTTCAAGATTAACGCATTTGTATAACGTCTTCGAAGGACATTTAGGCCTGATAGTCGTATAACATAAAAATTAATGTAAGTGCTTTTAGTTCTGTCATTGATAACCACAAAGAAGCATAAATGTAATCTCAGTCTTAAAATTTAAACCAGCATTAAGTCGTTAAATATCCCATTGTTGCTTTTAGTAAACTATTACTGTAATCATTCTCCTTGCTTAACTACTCTGAATATTACAAAATACTAGTAATATTATAACCTTAAAAACACCTGTTACAAGAGCATCTTTCCAGTTTATAAAATGTTAAATCACCCACGGATCTTACAAGTATATAACGGTTCATTTCAAAGAAAATATTATTTGGTAAAGTTCGTTTCAAGAGTAACTCCACCAAATGTGAAGGTGACGCTATTACATTGTTTTTGTTGATTATATTTTATGCCTTTTCTTATTTAATCTGTTATATATTTGAAGTTTACATTCGGCGTTTGTTGAGTTGTTTTGTTTGTTTGTTTTTTGTTGTTGTTTTTACATCATATTTGTTGTTTTCTTTAGGATGCATTCGATTTACTAAAGATCTAACTAATTAATTAAAAATTAGTGTTGCGTTAAACGATGGCACAATCACTAATTATCTTCAGGGAAATAGTGCGTCAAACAGTTTTCGAAAATATTGTTTTCTGTGTACTCCTGTTCTAAAGAATTTTTACCTTTTACTCTCAAATTATTGACTTCTTTTTATACCGTTCACTACTAATAGGGTCAACATATTGCAAAACCCTGATCAAATATTTTATGAAATTATTCTCTTTTTACGTACAGTACGTATAGGGATTCCAGTAGCAATTAGTGGGATTAATTTCAATATTGATACTTTTGTTTACATCTTTTCTGCGAAATATGTTATTAGAGGCCCTATAATAATCAAATTCATTCAAGCAATTTGGTGTAAAAGAAAAATTTAAAAACATTGTTTAAAAAAAACGATAATGTCTGTCATCGGTGATTCTACAGGATTAATGAGATAAGCCTTGCTGTATGACTACTGCTTATATAATGCTGTTATTGAGTATTTATTATCTTTGACGTAAGTTAACGTTAACTACAGTCATAGATGACGATACGTCCTTACACCAAACAAAAAACGTTATTAAATTTTCTATTACACAACATACACACAGTGTAGGGGGAGAGCACACAAACGTCTTGTATATCTTAGAGAGTGCGCTAGCAATAAAAAAAATAGCCGCTACTATTGCAATAATACAAAACTCAGATGAAGTTTCTACTCAAACAGCCACCATAAGGCCGATATGAGGAGCCGTTTCTTGAGTTATACCAGCTTCCTACTTTGACTCGTGCCCTTTAAATTTGGACCGTAAGACACTTCTGCGGCCAGTGACCGTCTATTAATTAATCACGTCTAACAGTGTGGAAGGACATTAAGAGTTGTGTGTTGAAAGCGGATAACAGAAAGCACCCCTACCGCCATTAATTTTTCCGCTACCTCTTCCTACAAAGTCACCCTGACCATTGCGCAGTGTATACCATTTTTTAAAGTATATACATATTGAGTTATTCAATCTTATACAAAATTTTAGATGAGGTAATAATGAAGACTTTAATAATATGTTATGCTATAAATAAATTGTGTGAAAGTTAGGATTTTTGTGTTATTTATAATAGCATCCAC